CGGGAGATTCTTAAAGGAGAGTTTGTAGGCAGAGGCTAAGAAATCTCCCCTTTACCTTGATGATGCTGTTAGGGAGAAAGGAGAGAGGACAGAAGCTGCCTGAATTGTCCAAGTCTCTATTATTGAATATGAACTTTTTTTTTAAGTATAGTAATTTTTATTTTATTTTCTTTCCTTTATTTTTTTTATTTTTAATTGAGGTAAAATACACATAACAAAAATTTACCATCAGAACCATTTGTTTTTTTAGCTTTCAGATGTACGTTGTAAGATATTTCGAATTCTGTGTAGATTACATCATGTTCACCACCCAAAAACTAATTATAGTCCATCACCACACAAGTGAGCCTAATTACCCCTTTTGCCCCCCCTCCTTCCTCTCTGGTAACCACCAATCCAATCTCTGTTGCTATGTGCTTGTTTGTCGTCGTTTTTTTCTTCTATTTATGAATGAGATCATACAGTATTTGACTTTTTCCCTCTGACCTATTTCACTTAGCGTAATACCCTCAAGATCCATCCATGTTATCACAAATGGCCAGATTTCATCGTTTCTTATGGCTGAGTAGTATTCCATTATGTATATATACCACTTCTTCTTTATCCATTCGTCCCTTGATGGGCACCTAGGTTGCTTCCAAGTCTTAGCTATTGTGAACAATGCTGCAGTGAACATAGGGGTGCATGTATCTTTATGCACTTGTGTTTTCAAGTTCTTTGGATAAATACCCAGAAGTGGAATAGCTGGATCACATGGTAGATCTATTTTTGGTTTTCTGAGGATACTCCATACCGTTTTCCGTAGTGGCTGCATCAGTTTGCACTGCCACCAGCAGTGTACGAGGGTTCCCGTCTCTCCACATCCTCTCCGACACTCGTTTCCCATCTTGTTAATTACAGCCATTCTGACTGGAGTGAGGTGATATCTCATTGTAGTTTTGATTTGCATTTCCCTGATAGCTAATGATGTTGAGCATCTGTATATCTTCTTTGGAGAAATCTCTGTTCAGATCTTTTGCCCATTTTTCAATTGGGTTGTTGGTTTTTTGTTGTTGAGATGTATGAGTTCTTTGTATACTTTGGATATTAACACCTTATCTGATATGTGGTTTGCAAATAGCTTCTCCCAATTGTTAGGTTGTCTTTTTGTTTTGTTGATGGTTTCCTTTGCTGTGCAGAAGCTTTTTAGTTTGATGTAGTCTCATTTATTCATTTTTTCTTTTGTTTCCCTTGCCCGGTCAGACATAAATATGAACTTTTTTTTTTTTTTTAAAAGTGAACTTTAAAACTAAGGAAAAATTCACCTATAGTCTTATCCCCAAAACAACTACTGTTAACATTTTGGACTGTTTCTTTCCCATCTTTTTCCTCTGTGTGATTTGGTTTGTTTTTCATTGGCTTTTCATAGGTTTGATCATACTGAATGTCATACAACTTTGTCTTTTGGAAAAAAATTGCATTTATTGTACAAATACATAATGCGTTCCCATTTCAGAAAAAAAGGGTAAATGTTCTTTAATTCCACAAGTGTTCTGAGCCCCTGTCATGTACCAGGTGTTGAACTGGGTGCTAGAAATCACCCATCAGACTATGCAGGAATAACCACTGTAATATTCTTCCAGTCTTAAAAATAAATCTCTCTTCCTAGTATATCAGAATGGCATGTGGGTGCATGTGCTTTGAGGTGTATGTCATTTTTAACTTGCCTTTGTCCCTTGACATTGTAACATAAGCATTTGTCCCTGTTGTCATAAACTGTTTATAAGTGTCATTTTAATGGCTATATAAAAGTCCATCAAATATCATAGGTTATTCAACTCTTCCCCTATTTATGAGAGATTTGAGATCTTTTCAATTTATCTTTATTACAAATAGCACTGTGATAAATATATTGATCTGCAAAAGCCATTGGGTATTTCAGACTATTTCTTTAGCATAGACTCCCAGAACTGGTCCAAAGAAGATGAAGGTTTTTTAAAAAATTTTTTGTGGGGGGAAGATTAGCCCTGAGCTAACATCTGCCACTAATCCTCCTCTTTTTGCTGAGGAAGACTGGCCCTGAGCTAACGTCTGTGCTCATCTTCCTCTATTTTATATGTGGGACGCCTGCCACAGCATGGCTTGATAAGCAGTGAATAGGTCTGCACCCAGGATCTGAACCAGAAAACCCTGGGCTGCCGAAGCGGAACGTGCAAACTTAACCACTCGCCGCCAGGCCAGTCCCCAGATGAAGGTTTTAAATGCTATTGATATATACCCTATTCTTAAAAACTACTTCTTTTTACCCAACACCATCCCCCAAAGGCTTTGGGATAATTTTGAAAAATGCATGTAAAAGAATAAAATAGTTGGGAGTGACAACAAAAGGGAAATAAGAGTAAAAAAGTAGTCCCACCCAAGATAAGATGAGCACGGTCATGTGCAATAGGGTTCTCTGCAGCCCTCGAGATAGGCTCGCATTTGACTGGAAGCTTCCAGCTGTCAAATCCAAGAGGGAAATGGCAGCTCCAAGATTCTCAGTTACCCAAATGCATAAATAAGCCACATGTCCAGAAGCAGCCAAGTTGTTCTGAGCTACAGGTGATTAGCTGATGTGCAAAGCTCCTTCTTCCCGCCAATACGCCCTCTGATTTTCTCCCCAGCTGCCTACCAGGGTGTCACCTCAAACCCTCCTCCCCCTTGGCAAAAAGAAAAAAAGCCCAGTGGAATTAACTGGACTCTTCTTGCCTGAGTGACCTCTCTGCCCGGACAGAACATGTGTTCTCATAAGTTTGGGGCCTTGGTGTGTTCCCAAAAGGACAGAGCTGTCTGGCTGTGAGTCTCCCTCAAGTTCAGTCTGTAGTTTGGAGATGACAGCACCAAATCAGTCAGGCTCTGTAGATACCAAATAATAAGATTAAGGGCCCTCAAGAGCTTTTAAAAATGAAAATGCTTTCCTACTAATAATACCACATTTCTAAAACATTTCATTCAGAAGGTTACATTCAAATTAGTGGATACTGGGGCCCTGGCAATAAAATGTTTTGAAATAAATTCCCTCGATCTCGCCGCTCCTCTTGGCTTGGGGTCCGTCCAAAGGAGTGTGACTTTTGGGGCCTGAGCCTCGGTGCCCAGGGGATGGAGAAGGAATCTGCTATGGAAACCTGGCCTGGGGGCCCCCACAACCTTAGGAGGTTGGGGTGAGGCGGGAAATGAAGGCTCTGCTGTGAAGTTCAAGTTGCTTCCCCTTTCCAAGTACAGTAGTCCACGCTCTCCTTTTATTTCAATCGAGCTCTGAAAAGCCCTACAAGTCTCATAATGCACACACACACACACGCAGAGTCTTTGAGCTGTGTTTTCTCTTGGTGGAGGCCAAGCCCTTTGGCCCAACCCTGCTTCCCCAGAGTTTCCACCTCTGCTCATCTTTGGTTGAGGGTGCTGGAGGTTATGCTTGAGGTTAAGAGTCAGTCTTGTTCGTTTGGGAGCTGACGGGGGCTCTTCTCCATCACAAGAATGTGCCTGTCACGCTGAATGCTACCCCCACCACCTCTTCTTGAGTGAGAAACCCAGGGTCGGCCCTGTCACCTCCCTCCCCGACCTCTAGATTTGTAGGTCTCCTGCTTCAGCTTTCCTTCCGTCACCCATTACCTCCAGGACAGACTGAACCTGGCACAGTCTGGCCTTTGCCAAACTTTCTCCTCTTGCTATTCTCCAGGGACCTCAGGCTTTAGCCCTGGGACCCTTGGCCACATTGGACACTGCCACTTACCCCTAGGTCCTTGCTCAATCATGCCTCTTACTGATATGTCCTCTCTCCCTTTCCCTCTCAGGCCCAACTGTAATACCACCTCCTCTGTGTGCCCCTGGCCCCACCATGCAGCTCCTCTGCACTGACGCAGTCCTTTCATCTCATAGAACTTTGACGTGCCTGTATCTTATACAGCCTTCGCTGTGTGGGCTGTGGTTGTCTTTCTCTTTCTCCCATTTAGACCAAGAACCCCTCCAGAGTGGATACCATCTGGCTTGGCCCTCTCAGTACCCTCAGCATGATAGGTATTTGACAAATGTTCCTTGAGTAAATCTGTTACTCATTGTGCCGTTTGGCTTCAGGCCATAGTGAGTGCAGGAGCCATGAGATGGACTATTTCTGTTGCTTTCCCGGAAGGAAGGGAGAAAGCGTGGCTTCTCCCTCTCATTTTATGGGCAGGGATCTTTTCCTATTTCACTACCATCACAGACCTTGCATAATCTCATTTGGGGCTCATTACCACCACCACCCCCCTCCCCCCACTGTGAAGAGCCCAAAGAGCTGCCCTTTTGGAGAAATTTGGAGAAATCTTCTGTTTGTGCATATGCGGACTGTTTCTCTCATCATCTTGGAGTTCTGTTCCTGTCCCCAAGGGCTGCTCCTAGCCCAAATACAGAGGGAAGTTGCTTGTGTCCTGATGGGCATGGGGGCACCCACCCAAGAGCTGTCTAATTTTATAGGCCTGTGCCCCAGCGCCAGCTTTCAGGCTGCCAGATCTCAACTCTACACCTTGTGCCTGTCAACAGCCTGGCTGATGCCTCAGCCCCAGGCCAGAAAACCTTTTTCTCAAGGTTAAGAGTAGCCGACCTTTGACAAGCGGCATTGGCTAAATTCCTTGCTCCTTAAAAGGGAAGCTCCCAGTTCCCGTTTGCTGGTGCTTATTTGGCCATGGGGCGGGAGCAGGCTCTATGTTGTACCCTGTGTACCAGCGGGAGGGTTTGCAGCTGAAGGTGCATTGCTGAACAGTCATTATTAAAATAGCCGTCTTTGAAAATGTGTGCTGGAGAAGAGGGCATCCAGTTTGTCAGCCAGTTTGCACCAAGGCCCATGTGGTTGGATAGCTTATTGGCTCCCGCTGGCTTCCTTACAGGCTACAGTGCCACCCACCCCACGCATAGCACACTCCTTAACGTGTGTGTGCATCACGAAAGCTGAAAAAAGGACAAGGAAACACACCAATTATTAAATGCCTGAACTTGTGTTTTTAATGTAGGGGCGACGGTCCAAAGATTGACTTGGTGGGCACTTCCATATCCGGCATCCTGGACAAGGATCTCTCAGACCGCAGCAATGACATCGGTGAGTAAGGAGAGCATTCTTGCTTCTCTTTGCAAAATTTTGAAAGAACTACAGAGCTTGGCTTGCCCTTTCAAGCAACCTGATGAGAACTAACATAGCCATTTAAATACAAGGCTAACAGCCCTCAGTTGGTTTTAGGTGTTACAATTTTGAAAACAAGGGAAGTGATGGCAGTTCCCACATTAAAACAGAATGCCTGGGATTTTTACTCTCCCTGGCCTTAGGAGAAATTTCTTGCAAGGTCTAATGAAAAGAAATGATGTATAAACCTTTTTGTAAAAGTGGGCATTGGCACTTATATTCATATTTTCTGGTGATTTATGTTTTTAGTGTAAAAAGGTGAATGGGTGAAAATGCAGAATGGCAGAGTTCATTGTAGACACAGCACTAAGTGTTTTGACTTTGAATTTAAAATAAGCTTTGGTGTGATAATTGCTACTTAGTTCAGAACATGGGTGAGTTTTCCCAAGGTCAGGATACTACTGTGTGATAAATGGGAAGGTAGCTAAAGTCTCTGTGGGTAAACGAGTTGGAGGGCCTTCAGGGGGTGTGTGTGGGTAGGTGTGAGGTCACGTGTGTGCTAGTTGAGGTCACCGTTGGTCTGACTTGGGTGACAGCCCTTTTAAGAAGTGTAGATTTAGGGACTAAATTTTTTTGAGCTTTACATCTTTTATTTGTACCTGTCATAGTCATAAGTTAGCACTCTCTCCTATTCTACATGATAGAAAGGGCTACATTTTGGAATTTGCCTTTTTTTAATTAAATTTTTTATTTTGAAATAATTAGAGATTCACATGCAGTTGTAAGAAATAATAGATCCACATACCTGTTACGCAGTTTCCCCCAATGGTGACGTCTTATGAAAGTACAGTACAAGATCACAACCCAAATATTGACATGGATCCAGTCCACCAGATTCCCCAGTCTTCCTAGTACTTGTGTGTATTTAGTTCTGTGCAATTTTGTCACACATGTAGGTTTGTGTATCTACCACCACACTCAAGATATAGAACATTCCAGCACCACTAGGATCCCTTGTGTTGCCCTTTGATAACCACACCCACCTTCCTCCTGCCCCCCTCCCCTTCCCTAAGCTCTGGCAGCCACTATCAGGGATTGATTTGACATGGAAGATTTCCAGCATCATTTGCACTGGCTGCTCAATTTAGAAGCAAATGTCCAACATTTGGCAGGTCTTGTAAGAGGTTCCAGAGCTCCTAATATGAACATTCTCGTCACCTGGGTGGGTGCTGTTTTCTTCTGAAACCTGCTCATAGAGTTGCATCTTTGCAACTGCTAACCTGCAGTCTCTGGTCTGATCTTGTGAAGGCTTGAGGGTAGGATATGTCATTGTGACTGTAAACACCAAAAGTGCTTGTCTGGTTTCCAGAAACTGGTTTACATCCGCAGTCAGCCTTTGAGAAGCCGAGTCAGGAAGCATGACCAAGAGTTTCTGACAGCTTGAGATGATGCAATAATAATAGAAACGCTGGCTTGCTGTAGCTTTTGACCTGGTTAAAGGGCAGGGAACAGCAGAGCAGTGATTGGCAGTGAACGAGCAGGAATCATCAGAATGAGTCTGATTAAGTTCCGGTTCTACTGCTCTGCAGTTAGCATTCGGGCCCCGTTTCAAGGCACGGTTGTCGGTTGGCAAAGTGTCAGTGAAGGTAATGTGGGGCCTCCCACGGGAGGGGAGGTGTTCTCCCACCTCCAGGATACACAGGGCCATGCCTTGCTTGTGAAGAACATTGACTTTGACTCTTGTTTTCTTTGGGTCTAGAGATCACTAAGGTGGCTATTGCCAAAATATGAATCCCATGTTTTTTCATTCTGACAAGCTAGATTGGAAATGTTGGGGGCATTGATGGAGGGGGTTTAGTCTATGGAAGCTTTTCATATTGTGGAAACTAAGCCCCAGTTGTATGTATTTGGGAGCTCAGAAAGGGATGCTGAGGTTTAGTTCACTCTCATTTTGCCAAGAAGACATTAATCCAAGAAAACTATAATTCCTCAAGCTAATAATTTAATGTATATGTTATTTGCTTTGCAAGAAACGATGATTGGCGGCTAAGTAATCAACCAGGAAATACTCGAGTACCTACTAAAGTGCAAGTCTGAATGGTACCAAGGTCCTCACACACAGGCCCTGCCTTCTGGGGGCTTTGGGTCTGTTTGGACCCCTAAGACAGTAAATGAAAAGTGAGGTAACAGTCTGTCTAAATGATGACTGAGTGGTAGCAAGTAATGCTGATGAGAGTTGAGGATGCTCCTTGGCGCCCAGGGTGTGAGGGCAGGCTCCGTGGAGGGGGGCAGACTTTTCTGGATCTGGAAGTTGGATTCGCTTAGGTAGGGGCAGAGGTAGGCAGGGAAATCACATGAGGAGTGCTGGTAGTTGCGAGTGCATCAGCCTGGCTGCAGTAGAGGGTTTGTGCTGGCCTCGGGGCGGGGGGCTGACCTGGAAATGTAAGTCGGGCCTGGATTGAATTTGGATTTGTAATTTATTCTGTAGGCAGTGGGAGCCGTTGATGGTTGACTCTGAAGGGACATGATCAGGTCTAAAAATTCAGATAATAACTGATAGAGCTTTGTGGGACCCATGAGATGAAGGAAAGATGGGTGTCAAGGAGTCAGGTTATTTGATAGTTCGAGTGAGAGGCAGTAAGAGAGAGCCAAAATTAAGCTGCTCACAAAAGGATTGTGAAAGAAAGGATAGATGTGGACACGCAGAAATGCAAGAGAATTATTGCCAGGCTTCAGTAACACATTGGACTTGGGAGTGGGGAGGAGGAGAGAATGATTTGTTAGTTGTGAGGTTTTAGGGTTGGGTGACTGGGGGAGAAATGACTTGGGTAGAAATAAGCGTGACTGGAGGAGGAACTGGTTTGGGGGAAAACGTGATGAATTTATTTAAGCGTGTTGACTTTGAGATTTGACCGGACATCCCTGTCTCAGTGCTGGGTGAAGCCTGAAGGTGGAAGGCTGAGGCTGGAGAGGCATTGCAGGTCGAGATTAGGACCTTCCAGGAGGCGGAACGCAGAGCAGGCATCTGCCGATGTGGCTTTGAGTGCTGCTGATTCTGCTGCTTCCTGGCTAGGTGACCTTCCGTAATTTACATGGACTCTCTGAGCTTCAGCTTCTTTATCCACAAAGAATACTGATGTCTCTACCAACTTCCTCACCTTGTCTTCCAGAAATGGAAAATCTCTTGGAGGGCTGGAAAAAGATTGAGATGCTTATTATTAATATTGCTCTTTGCTTAGAAGTGATAAAGTCAGGAAGATAAATAAAATCTTTACCTTGAGAAAAGAGAAAAAAAGAACCTAGAGCTGAAGACCAAACCCTGTGCAAAGTCCACATCTAAGGGAAAGGCAGAATTTGACAACATCCCAGGGGCTGAGGGAGGAGAGGGTTTTAAGCAAAATGTCTTTAGATCCAAATGCAGAAATGCCTTTTGCAGGTGGGGTGGTCAAGGAGACTAGGACATTGCAGGGGGCCTGGCTCTCTTCAGAGCTGCTTTTCTATCTCTACTTTTGTAACATGTGTTCACTGCTTTGAATCAAAAAGAAATTATTTGTACCAGAATGTTTTGTTAGTGATTCAGACAATTGAAGCTGCCCAAATTTGCGTTGCAGTGAATAGCAGAACACAGACCTGAAAGCCATTAGAAATCATCAGTGTTAACTATAAATAAATCTGTGTTTCCTCTTAATAAAGCTATAATTTTACATTATTATAATATTAAATTAGAGAACACGGCCTTTCCAGAGCTCGGGTGGGCAGCTGCCAGCATCTGTCAGCCCGTGATAGCTTAGAATGAAATCAGTTGATCCAAAACTAAGTTGTTGATGTCAGCTTGAGATATTGTTTGTATCAAACTATGCAGCCATATTTCAAGGAACATAATAGAAAACATGGATGAGCTCCAGCACAGGCCTGTGCATGAATAGAAGTGAAAATTAAATTGTCCAGTTTTCTCTTGCTGACGGAAAAATCTCTGTTCCGATTGAACGGGAGATTATAGGCTGCGAAGTCAAGTGCCATAACATTTACTTTTATTATGCCATATATTGTAGTTCCCATGGCATGGCGGGATTTATTGTTACCCTTCAATACTACAGAGATTTTCCCTTCCTTTCCTCCTAAAGCACGTGGCAAGAGGCCTCCAGGTGGGAAGCAGCCTGGGAACTAAGCCATCTGGTTTCCCATGACTGACTTAGAAAAAGCCCATCTCATTCTTCCTCGGTTGCTTGCCTTCTTTGTTTTAACTGTTTTTTTCCATTCGAAACTTGTCAAACTGTTCCCACTTCCATCTCTCTACGTGGATACCACCCCCTCTTCACTTGAGGAAGCTGAGGATTTCCCCTCCATCTTTTCAACCTGACCCATAGACCCACACTTCACATGGTAGTCAATTTGGGGGCCAAGTGTCAATAACTTTAATGGACTTAGGGCATGGACCTGGCTTGGTAGATAGAAAGACTAGCTTCAGCTTGTCCTCAGTCTCTCATGGATGCCTCAAGCCTTCTTCATTTGGGCCAGAAAATGCAAAAACACTTCCCTACACCCAGGGAACGCTATTAAGAGCTCGTCGATTTGGGGTGCTAGAATGGTTCTAAAAGTAGATTGTGGTGATGGTTGCACAACTCCATAAATTTGCTAAAAATTATTAAGTTGTGCTCTTAAAGTGGGTGAACTTTATGGTGTAGAAATTGTACCGCACTAAAGCTGTTAAAAAGCAAAAAGAGCTAGTTGAAATTTTCTTGGCACTCACTTTGAGGTCTCAATGTCAAAAAAATATGTACACACCACTGATTTATAAGTATAGGGTTAAAAGTGCCCCTTTACCCCACTTTATAAAACAGTTATGTTTATTTAGACTAATAGCTACTATATTGGTGTTTCTGAGTTGTCTGTAAACCAATCTTTTATAAACAGGATTATGTTTTAGATGTCTTAAGAAAGCTCTCTAAAAGCTTGTAGAGAAATCATTTTGTAATACA